TGTGTGTGTGTGTGTGTGTGTGTGTGTGTGTGTGTGTGTGTGTGTGTATTTGACTTAATATATTTTTTAAAGATGATTTCAGCGCAGAACTGTGTTAGAGACATGTGGAAATTTTAAATTAATCATCCTCCTGGTTCTTACATCTCATCGTACCATATTTAATGCTGTTTCAGGGTTGTTGCTGAGTTAACAGGAATTCTTTTATGGAAACCATGTTTCTTTTCCTCTAATTATCTGTATTTATATAATTGTTGAGTTATGTCACCACTTCTCATAGATCCTACAAGCTTGCCAAGTACAGAAAAAAATCTCTTCAATCCTCTTCCATCACAGAGGAAAAAAAATAAACATCTCAGTATTTTTTCCTCTCTAAATTACTTCCTTAGGAGATATTACTAGTCAGCAGACATGAATATCTTTATTTTTCTTCCTACAACTTAAAGTCTAGAAGTCTAGACACAAAGGCTGTTCATAGGGGAGAGGAGACAAAGCCTGGGGCAGAAGGTCAGATTGGGGACCCAAAAGGTAAACCCCTGGTTGGGTGAAGTAGGGAAAAAACCCATTCCACAAAGAGAGCCTAAGGAAACTCACCTGTCTAAATCTTGGCTCTGTGTAGAGGGATAATAGATATTCCTTGAAAATTCAGGACCACAATACAACCTTTATTTATTTATTTTATTTGTTTATTCTTAAAATAAGCTCTACACCCAACAGGTCTTGAATTCACAACCCTGAGATCAAGAGTCATATGCTCTACTGATGGAGCCAGGCAGCTGCCCCCACAATACAGCCTTTATGTTGATTTAGAACTAGAATTCACATTACCCAGGCAGCTTGAAGAGAACCACAGTGGATAATTTAATCTCAGAATAATCCTGTTTGGCCACGGTGGCCTGAGATGCATGGTGTAAGCAAATGCAAATCCTCAGTCTTCAAGGCTTCCCACAAACAGATGAAGTTCTAGGGAATACAAGTGTATAATCGGAAATCGTAAAACAAAACAAGGAGAAAAGCCACATAAGTGATAGAGTCCGAAGAAACAGGAAAAAGAGGATTCAGACAGCCAAATACTGCATCTGTGGGAATTATCGGATACAATAAGTATATGTATACGTACACACATTTGTATGTGAGACATTTGTATTGTGAGTACACACACACACACACACACACACACACACACACACACGTTTTAAAGGTATGACTAAGGAATGAGAGATTATCAAAAATAATCAGCCAGAATGGAAAACAACCAAAAAGAACTTCTAGAAAATATAATAATCTTTGAAAATAAAAGCTGTAACTTCTGGCCCCACTTGACTAGGGAGCCTGAATAGTGACCCCAGGTGGCCTCGGAGCCCACCCTACAGTACTTCCCAGCTCCAGAGTCCAGCCTACAGCCCTGCCAAGCAAGTGGAGCCCAGACTACACCCATTTACTTGTTGAGCACTGCCTGCAGCCTTGCTCAAGCAGGGAACCCAGCCAGTAACCCCTCCCCAAAACAGAACATAGACTGGGTCCCTACCTAACCGTGAAGCCCAGACAGTGATTCTACCTGATGGCAAAACCCAGCCGCCAGCCCCACCCAACTGTGAGGTACAGCTGCTGGCCCCACCTGACCAGGGAGCCTGGCCAATAACCTCCCTCCATAGTGCAGCACACCCAGAAGCCTGCCCAGTTGCGGAGTGTAGCCTGAGGCGCTGTCTGATCATGGAGCCAACTGAACTTGGAGGCTAGCCAGTAGCAACATCTGCCTGGGAAGCATAGCTTGGGCTCCCACTCGATCAGGTGCAGTTGTGGAGCTCAGCCTGCAGCCCTTTATCATGGAGTCCAAATAGCAGCTCTGCTCAGCCAGGGAACACAATCTGAGACCTCAGCCAACCAGAGGTAATTGCCCAGTGCAGTTAGTGGCTCTGTTTGATCATGTAGCCTAGCCCAGCAGCCCCATCTGACCAGGGAGCCCAGCCAGCAGAGCTTGCTTGAATGCCAGTGTTTCCCCCCACCCCCTGACCTCAGAGTGTCAGCAGAAGCCCTGTCCAACTAGAACCTAACAGACATACATAGAACTTTCCATCCAACAGTAGCAGAATACAAATTCCTTTTAAGTGCACATAGAGTGGCGCCTGGGTGGCTCAGACGGTTAAGCGTCTGCCTTCGGCTCGGGTCATGATCCCAGGGTCCTGGGATCGAGTCCCACATCGGGCTCCCTGCTGAGTGGGGTGTCTGCTTCTCCCTGTCCCTCTGCCTGCTGCTTCCCCTGCTTGTATACACACTCTCTCTCTCACTGTCAAAAACAAATAAAATCTTCAAAAAAAAAAGTGCACATAGAATATTCTCTAGGATAGATCATATGTTAGGTCACGAAACAAGTCTTTTTTTTTTTTAAGATTTTATTTATTTATTTGACAGAGAGAGAGCACAAGCAGATGGGGCAGTAGGCAGAGGGAGAAGGAGAAGCAGGCTCCCCACTGAGCAGGGAGCCCGACATGGGGCTCGATCCCAGGACCCCGGGATCATGACCTGAGCCAAAAGCAGATGCTTAACCGACTGAGTCACCCAGGTGCAGCTCACAAAACAAGTCTTAATAAATTAAAGAAGATAAAAATCATATCAGGTACCTTTTCTGACCACAGTGGCGGTCAGATGAAACTAGAAATCAATAGTAGGAGGAAAATTGGAAAATTCGCAAATATGTGGAAATTAAACAACACACTCCTGATCAACAGATGGCTCAAAGAAAATCAAAAGGGAAATTTAGAAAATCCTGAAATAGATGAAAACGGAAATACAATGTACTAAAACATATGGGATGCAGCCAAAGCAGTTTTATGAGGAAAGTTTGAAGCAATAAATACCTACATTAAGAAAAAGGAAAGATCTTGAATAAATACCCTAAATTTATATCTCAAGGAATTAGGAAACAAAGAACAAACTAAGCCCAAAAATAGTGGAAGGAAGGAAATAATAAAGATTAGGCCAAAAAAATGAAATAGAGGATAGAAAATAATGGGAAAAATTAATTAAACTAAGTATTGGGTTTTTTTTTTAAAGATACACCACATTGACAAAACTTTAAGCAGATTAACCAAGAAAAAAAAAGACTCAAATAAATAAAATTATAAATGAAAGAGGAGACATTATAACTGATGGCACAGAGATACAAAGAATCGTAAGAGACTCCCATGAACAATCATATGCCAACAAATTGGATAACTAGAAGAAATGGATAAATTCCTGGAAACATAGATCCTATCAAGACAGAATCAGGAAGAAACAAAATCTGAACAGACCAATAACAAGCAGATTGAATCACTAATCCAAAACCTCCCAGGAAAGAAAAGCCCAGGACCAGATGGCTTAATGGATGAATACTACCAAAATTTAAAGCAGAATTAATGCCAATCATTCTCAAACTCTTCCAAAAAATTAAAGAGGAGGAAATACTTCCAAACTCATTTTATAAATCCAACATTACCCTGATACCAAAGACAGGCCAATCACCCTGATGAACATAGATGTAAAAACTCTCAACATAATGCTAGGAAACCAAATTCAATAGCAAATTAAAAGGATCATACACCATGATCAAGTGGGATTTATCCCTGGGATGCAAAGATGGTTCAATATATGCAAATCAATAAATGTGATACACCACAGTAACAGAATGAAGGATGAAAAAAATCATATGATTATCTCAATAATGTGGAAGAAGCAAAATTTGATATCCTTTTCATGATAAACACTCCCAACAAATTGGGTATAGGAAGAATGTATTTTGACATAATAAAGGCCATAGATTGACAAGCCCACAGATAATTAAAATCAATTACTACTCAGCAGTGAAAAGCTGAAAGCTTCTCCTCTAAAATCAGGAACAAGGTGGGGTGCTCACTGTCCCCACTTCTGTTGAACACAGTACTAGAGGTCCTAGCCTGGGCATTTAGGCAAGAAAAAGGAATAAAAGCCATCCAAATCAGAAAAAGAGAAGTAAAATTATCCCTGTTTACAGATGGTATGATCTTATATAGAGAAACCCTAAAGACTACATCAAAACACTTAGAATAATGAATGCGTTAAAGTGCATTAAAGTTGTGGTGCTCTGTGGGTGGTCTTCCTGGTCAGGCAGAGCTGCGGGCTGAGCTCCACAGTTGCATGGGGCTGGGGGTTGGCTTCCTGCCCAGGTAAGGCCCAGAAGCTTTTTATGGTGGCATGACCCAGGAAGTTGTACCTGCCACTCTTACATGTGTCCTGTTGCCCAAGTTGGTCATATGGTTACATCTAGCTGCAAGAGAGGCTGGGGATGTAGTCTCTGGTCAAGCAGCCATGGACCCAGCTCACATCTGAGGAGTTCTTAATAGAAAAGAAGAGGAAAACAGATAGAGCAGATAATTAGGGTCTTTTATTTTATTATTACTATTATTATTTAAGTCATATGTTCTTTCCTACTTTTATTCCATTTCATAATAAAATGAATACAAAAGTAATGAAGAGGAAGTAGCAAGCGTGGAGTACTATTTTAAGGTATTTGAAAAGGGTGAGGACCAGAGGAATGTAGGGTGGATTTCTTTTTCTTTTTTTTTCTTTTCCTTTTAATTTGCTTTTCGGTTTAAATTAGGAAATATCTCTATGGGGCGAGAGCAATTTGGTGAACATTCCAGAAAAGGCAGTCAGGCTCTAGTCCTGGGAGATCACAGGGAGAAGGAGGAAGAGCCTAGGGAAAGAGAGGAGGCTGGAAGGGTGTTTTCTGAGCCAGGAGCACTGGGGACCCTGTGAAGGCAAAGGTGAGCCCCTGGCATATCTGTGTGTCACTCTGACACCTCCACACCCACCCCATCAGCTCCTCACCAGTAGTATTATCAGGAGCTTGTCTGTTGTATCCTCCTTCCCTGCTCCCCACCCCTACCCCGATTTAGTGCTAAGGGCAATTCTAAGGGAAGGTAAGCTTGTAGTTCTGAGGGAGCCAAGGTTAATGCTGACATATTTATGAGAAATTTGATAGCCAGAGACTGAGGTTGTGTGATGTAATTTTACAGTTGTTTTACATCTAACTTGCTGATTTTCTTATTTTAGATTTAAAGGTACGATTGAGGAACTCAGTAATGAGATTTTATCTGCACGGAATTGGTTGCAACAGGAACAAGAACGGATAGAGAAAGAACTTTTACAGAAAATCGATCAGCTTTCCTTGGTTGTTAAGGAAAACAGTGTAGGTATTGATGCACAGCATAATAGAGTAAAGTTATTTGGCGGGGGCCTGCAATGTTTGTGAATAATCCCTAGCAATTTAGCATTGATTGATCTAGCACCACATTAATCTGCTCAGTTGTTTCTTGCCTTAGAATTTTTCTTTCTCTGTGTTCGTTATAAAGGGAGCACTTGGACTTGTTTTGGTTAACCAAGGCAAAGTAGAAAATTTCAGCACTTTCAGCTAAGATCAGTTTAAGTCAAGACTTTCATGAACCACATTGTCCACCTGCATTTCTAAGTAGAACTAACTACAAACTTCATCCTAGTTTGGTTGAATTTCATCATCTGGAAAACACAATTCGACTAGGTTTCTCCCGATAGACCCCTCCATCACACTAACCACAGGATGCGGAGTCACGGGGAAGCATGTCAACAAAATGTACCCTTTTCTTCTCCATCTCGTTCTCTTTTTACCCCACTCTCCTAGAGAATGAAGGTTTGCCGAACTGCTCAAAAACCATCAGGAAAGCCTTGCATGTAGAGTATTCAAAACCAGTAGGCTCTGAAACTGGTATTTGGCAAGAACATTTTTTTTTTTGGTTTGGTGATTTAGCCTGACCATCTTCCTCTCTCTTCTCTTTTCTTGCACTGCTTCCTCCTGTTGGACTTTGATGGAGCAGAAGCATCTGGTCCAGTTTGCATCTCTGACTCTGCTGTCTCTCAGGGCTGAGCTGCTCTCCATGCAGACTGCATTGTATAACATCAAGAGAGCTAGGTCAGGCAATAGCCCACTTACAACTCAGTGTTTATAGTCTTGGCCTCCAAAGCTTACACGCAGACACAGATTCCCATAAAAACTAGGCACGTTGGAAAGAAAAGAAAATATTTAATATTTCAAATATTTCTTTAAGTAGATATATTATCAGATCTACTGATTGATTTACTTAGATTCATACTACTACATTTGTAGGCTTTTGTGTCTTTGGATGACTGTTTATTTTTACATGTGGGTTGGTTAATAACTAACAGTAAACCCCAGTATAATAGTAGCTTTAATAAGATAGCATCGTATTTCTCTTTCACATAAAACTGTCTGGGGGTAGGGAATGCAGGGCTGATATGATAGCTTATCAGTCCTCAGCAACCCACAATTCTTCTGGCTCCACTCTCTGCCAGTTCTAGAGAGTGACCCTTTTTCTCATAGTTCAGTTATGACCACTAGCGTTCCAGCCATTACGTCTGAATTCCAGGAACAGAAAGAAGACAGAAGGGGCAAAGATAGGTCTCAGCTACCTTTTAGCTTTTCCTGGAAGCTGCCACACACCCTTCTACTTACATCTCATTGGCCAGAACTTCATCTTTATGGCCACACTAACCTCAGGAGACAGCAGAAAATGTAGTCTTAATTCTGGGTGAGCTTACACCCAGCTGAAAATCGGGGGTCTGTTAAGGAAACAGGGGAGAGTGGATGTTTGAGTGAGAAACAAGCCACCTTTGCAGTTCTGTTCCCTGCAGATTGTTGTTAAATGATACTGTGACGATGCAGGTGCAGGACAGACTTTCTTTTTGGAATAACCAGATGCAATTCTTTTCACGATCTCAGGGAGCCAGCGAAAGGGACATGGAGAAGAAGCTCAGCCAGATGTCAGCCAGACTTGACAAAATAGAAGAGAGTCAGAAGAAGAATATGGAAGTGCAGAGAACAAAACAAGAAGAGGAGAAAGTGCATGGGCGCATCAGCAAGCTGGAGTTACAGATGAATGAGGACATGAAGGAAATGAAAGCAGAAGTTGATGCTGGTAGGCCAAAAAGCAGATGACTCATGGGTTCTTTTCTTTTCTTTTCTTTTTAATTGTTAGTCTTTATTTAACAAAAATTTTTTTTTTAAGATTTTATTTATTTTTTTGACAGAGACAGCGAGAGCAGGAACACAAGCAGGGGGAGTGGGAGAGGGAGAAGCAGGCTTCCTGCTGAGCAGGGAGCCCGATGCGGGGCTCATGATCCTGGGATCATGACCTGAGCCGAAGGCAGACATTTAACGACTGAGCCACCCAGGCGCCCTTAAATGTTTTTTTATTTAAATTCAATTAATTAACATATAATGTGTTAGTAGTTTCAGAGGTAGGGGTCAGTGATTCATCAGTCTTATATAACTAACCCAGTGCTCATCACATCACATGCTCTCCTTAATGCCCATCATCCATTTACCCCATCCCTCCACCCCCATCCCCTGCAGCAGCCCTCAGTTTATTTCCTATGACTGAGTCTTTTATGGTTTGTCTCCCTTTCTGATTTTGTCTTGTTTTATTTTTTCCTCTCTTCCTGTGTTCATCTGTTTTGAGATGAGCGAGATAACGGTGAGATCCACATATCAGTGAGAGCATATGATAATTGCCTTTCTCTGATTGACTTATTTCACTTAGCATAATACCCTCTAGTTCCATCCATATTGTTGCAAATCGCAAAATTTCATTTTTTGATGGCTGCATAATATTCCATTATATATATATATACACCACATCTTTATCCATTCATCTGTTGATGGACATCTGGGCTCTTTTCATAGTTTGGCTATTGTGGACATTGCTGCTATAAACATTGGGGTGCGGGTGGCCCTTTGGATCACTACATTTGTATCTTTGGGACAAATACCCAGTAGTGTAATTGCTGGGTTATAGGGTAGCTCTATTTTCAACTTTTTGAGGAACCTCCATACTGTTTTCCGGAGTGGCTATACCAGCTTGCATTCCCACCAACAATTGTAAAGATTCCCCTTTCTCTGCATCCTCGCCAATATCTGTCATTTCCTGACTTGTTAATTTTAGCCATTCTGACTGGTGTGAGGCAGTATCTCATTGAGGTTTTGATTTGTATTTCCCTGATGCCAGGTGACATTGAGCATTTTTTCATGTGTCTATTGGCCATTTGTATGTCCTCTTTGGAGAAATGTCTGTTCATGTCTTCTGCCCATTTCTTGATTGTTCTTACCAAGTTTGATAAGTTCTTTATAGATTTTGGATATTAGCCCTTTATCTGATAAGACATTTGCAAATATCGTCTATGTTGGTTGTCTTTTGGTTTTGTCGACTGTTTCCTTTGCTGTGCAAAAGCCTTTTATCTTGATAAAATCCCGAAAGCTCATTTTTGCTTTTGTTTCCCTTGCCTTTGGAGACGTGTCTAGCAAGAAGTGGCTGCGGCCGAGGTTACAGAGGTTGCTGCCTCTGTTCTCCTCTAGGATTTTGATGGATTCCTGTCTCACAGTTAGGTCTTTCATGCATTTTGAGTCTATTTTTGTGTATGGTGTAAGAAAATGGTCCAGTTTCATTCTTCTGCATGTGGCTGTCCAATTTTCCCAACACCATTTGTTGAACAGACTGTCTTTTTTCCATTGGGTATTCTTTCCTGCTTTGTCAAAGAGTAGTTGACCAGAGATTTGAGGGTCCATTTCTGGGTTCTCTGTTCTGTTCTGTTGATCTATGTGTCTGTTTTTGTGCCAGTACCATACTGTCTTGATGATTATAGCTTTGTAATACAGCTTGAAGTCTGGAATTGTGATGCCACCAGTTTTTTTTTTTTTTTTTTTTTTAAACATTCCTTTGGCTATTTGGGATCTTTTCTGGTTCCATACGAATTTTAGGATTATTTGTTCCAGCTCTGAAAAAAATTGATGGTATTTTGATAGGGATTGCATTGAATGTATAGATTGCTCTAGGTAACATAGACATTTTAACAATATTTGTTCTTCTGGTCCATGAGCATGGAACGTTTTTTCATTTCTTTGTGGTCTTCTTCAATTTCTTTCATGAATGTTTTATGGTTTTCTGAGTACAGATCCTTTGTCTCTTTGGTTAGGCTTATTCCTAGGTATCTTACGGTTTTTGGTGCAATTGTAAATGGGATCAACTCCTTAATTTCTCTTTCTTCTGTCTCGTTGATGTATAGAAATGCGACTGATTTCGGTGCATTGATTTTATATTTTGCCACTTTGCTGAATTCCTGTATGAGTTCTAGCAATTTTGGGGTGGAGTCTTTTGGGTTTTCCACATAAAGTATCATGTCATCTGCAGAGAGTGAGAGTTTGACTTCTTCTTTGCCAATTTGGATGCCTTTTATTTCTTTCTGTTGTCTGATTGCTGAGGCTAGGACTTGTGGAACTATGTTGAACAACAGTGGTGAGAGTGGACATCCCTGCTCTGTTCCTGACCTTAGGGGAAAAGCTCTCAAGTTTTTTCCCATTGAGAATGATATTTGCTGTGGACTTTTTGTAGATGGCTTTTATGATATTGAGGTATATACCCCTCTGTCCCTACACTGTGAAGAGTTTTAATCAAGAAAGGATGCTGTACTTTGTCAAATGCTTTTTCTACATCTTTTGAGAGGATCATATGGTTCTTATCCTTTCTTTTATTTATGTAGTGTATCACATTGATTTGTGGATGTTGCCTTGCAGCCCAGGAATAAATCCCACTTGGTTGTGGTGATTAATATTTTAAATGTACCGTTGGATCCTATTGGCTAGTATCTTGGTGAGAATTTTTACATCCATGTTCATCAGGGATATTGGTCTGTAATTCTTTTTGTTTGTTTGTTTAAAGATTTTATTTATTTATTTGACAGAGAGAGAGACAGTGAGAGAGGGAATACAAGCAGGGGGAGTGGGAGAGGGAGAAGTAGTTCTCCTGCTAAGCAGGGAGCCCGATGCAGGGCTTGATCCCAGGACCCTGGGATCATGACCGGAGCCGAAGGCAGACGCTCAATGACTGAGCCACCCAGGGCCCCTGTAATTCTCCTTTTTGGTGGGGTCTTTGTCTGGTTTTGGGATCAAGGTAATAATGCTGACCTCATAGAAAGAGTTTGGAAGTTTTCATTCCATTTCTATTTTTTGAAACAGCTTCAGAAGAATAGGTATTAATTCTTCTTTAAATGTTTAGTAGAATTCCCCTGGGAAGCCATCCATCCCTGGATTCTTATTTGTTGGGAGATTTTTGATTACTGCTTCAATTTGCTTGCTGGTTATGGGTCTGTTCAGGTTTTCTGTTCCTTCCTGTTTCTGTTTTGGTAGTATGTACGTCTCTAGAAATGGATATTTCTTCCTGATTGCCTAATTTGTTGGCATATAGTTGCTCATAATATGTTTTTATAATTGTATTTCTTCAGTGTTGGTTGTGACCTCTTTCATTCATAATTTTATTTACTTGGGTCCTTTCTCTTTTCTTTTTGATAAGTCTGGCCAGGGGTTTATTGATCTTATTCTTTCAAAGAACCAGCTCCTAATTTCGTTGATCTGTTCTGCTGTTTTTTTGGTTTCTATTTCATTGATTTCTGCTCTAATCTTTATTAATTCTTTTCTCCTGCTGGGTTTAGGCTTTATTTTCTGTTCTTTCTCTAGCTCTTTTAGGTGTAAGATTAGGTTGTGTATTTGAGACCTTTCTTGTTTCTTGAGAAAGTCTTGTATTGCTATATACTTCCCTCTTAGGATCGCCTTTGCTGCATCCCAAAGGTTTTGAACAGTTGTGTTTTTGTTTTCATTTGTTTCCGTGAATTTTTAAAATTCTTCTTTAGTTTCCTGGTTGACCCATTCATTCTTTAGTAGGATGCTCTTTAGCCTCCATGTATTTGAGTTCTTAACCAAATTTCCTCTTGTAATTGAGTTCCAATTTCAAAGCATTGTGGTCCAAAAATATGCAGGGAATGATCCCAGTCTTTTGGTACTGGTTGAGACCTGATTTGTGACCCAGGATGTGATCTATTCTGGAGAATGTTCCATGTGCACTCCAGAAGAATGTGTATTCTGTTGCTTTAGGGTGGAATGCTCTGAATATATCTGTGAAGTCCATCTGGTCCAGTGTGTTATTTAAAGCCCTTGTTTTCTTGTTGATTGTCTGCTTAGATGATTTGTCCATTGCAGTGAGTGGGGTCTTAAAGTCCCTATTATTGAATTATTATCGATGTGTTTCTTTAATTTTGTTAATAATTGGTTTATATAATTGGCTGCTCCCATTTTAGGGGCATAAATATTTACCATTGTTAGATCTTCTTGTTGGATAGACCCTTTAATTATGATATAGTGTCCTTCCTCATCTCTTATTACAGTCTTTGGTTTAAAATCTAATTTGTCTGATATAAGGCTTGCCACCCCAGCTTTCTTTTGATGTCCATGAGCATGATAAATGGTCTTCCACCCCTTCACTTTCAATGTGGAGGTGTCTTTGGGTCTAAAATGAGTCTCTTGCAGACAGCGTATCAATGAATCTTCTTTATCCAATCTGATACCCTGTGTCTTTTGATTGGGGCATTTAGCCCATTGACATTCAGAGTAGCTATTGAAAGATATGAATTTAGTGCCATTGTATTACCTGTAAAGTCACTGTTTCTGTATATTGTCTCTGTTCCTTTATGGTCTTTGTTACTTTTGGGCTCTCTCTTTGCTTAAAGGATCCCTTTTAATATTACTTGAAGGGCTGGTTTAGTGATCCCAAATTCTTTTAATTTCTGTTTGTCCTGGAAGCTTTTTCTCTCTCCTATTTTGAATGCCATCTTAGCTGGATAAAGTATTCTTGGCTGCATACTTTTCTCAGTTAGCACCCTGAATATATCATGCCAGTCCTTTCTGGCCTGCCAGGTCTCTGTGGATAGGTCTTCTGCCAATCTAATGTTTCTACCCTTGTAGGTTATGGACCTCTTGTCCAGAGCTGCTTTCAGGATTTTCTCTTTGTCTCTGAGATTTGTAAGTTTCACTATTAGAAGTTGGGGTGCTGGCCTATTTTTATTGATTTTGAGGGGTGTTCTCTGGACCTCC